ATACACACACATAAAAACACATCTTACCCTTGGGTTCATCAGTAATGTTAGTCTGCTTGCGGGGCCTGATGAGTTTCCATTGAGGAACTGGGGGAGGTTTAGGAGGGGCCACCAGTGGGCAGTCTCGAGTGCAGGTGAGCAGCACAAGGTGACTGAAGAGCTGAGAGAGCCCATACTGCCTCAGACTCTCAGACGAATCAGCCTGGAGAACACACCACCCACCACGATCGTAGATTACAGAGGAGAAACTTAATAATGGATTAGACAGCCAGCACTAATCCAAACGGAGCCAAATATTGCTTGAGACTAAAACAGAGGGAGGGAGAGTACCATTTGGGGCAGGTTTGCACATTAATGAGCTTTAGGTAAATGCTCGGTGGAGGCATCATGTCAAACAAACTGGGTGGGGATATCATTTTAAATCCATTAAATCGAATGAGCACATCACATAGGTGTCCCCATTTTCATGCTATTCAATAATATAATATAATATAATATAATATAATATAATATAATATAATATAATATAATATATCAGTCAAATGTTTGGGCTCAGTAAGATTTGTTAGTTTTAGTTTTTTAGTTATTCTCACCAAGGCTGCATATTTTTGAGATCAAAAACAGAGTGAAAACACAAATACTGTAAAATATTATTACAATATTTTCAGAAGTCATTAATCCAGTCTTTAGTGTCACAATCCTTTAGAAATCAGTTCTAATATACAGATTTTTTTTCTCAGGGTTATTTAAAGAAAAAGTTCAAAATAACAGCATTTATTTGAAACAGAAATCTTTTAAAATATTATAAATGTATTTTCTGTCACTTTTGATCAATTTAATGCATCCGTGTTAAATAGAAGTATGGACTTCTTAAAAAAAAATCACTGACCTTCAATTTGTAAAAGGTAGTGTATATTCTACGGATTGAAAAACATGTGCTTACCATCCTTGTAAGCATTGACGTTCTTTTCTCCATCAGATGCAAGGGTTGGTAACTGGCACACACAACCATCTGAGGAATAGGACCAGTGGCTAAATCAGAAAGAAGAAAGAAAGAGCATTTGTGAAAAAGACTAAAAGAAGTATACATGAAAGAGGTGTCATTTCTACTTTATATGCATGAAAAACTTTGCAGGCCCTCAAAATCTAAGATGAACTTTTTTCCTGTTGTCAGGCTTCCGTCTCTTTAATACTTAAAGCTTTATGAAATGAATGGAGTGCAGTCTATTTTGAATAAGAGGAAGAGAGAATAAGTGGATAGATCAAGGCATGTGTTTCAAAGACAAAGGCGTGAACAGCGGAGAGGGCACTGTAATCTGTCAAGCCATATTTTCCTAATTCACATAGCACACAAACTTCCAGTGTAGAGGAAGGAACAGAGGCACTGCATTATCAGTGTTTGATCTTCATCTCCCAAGGCCATCTCTGATCTCTTATCAGAGCCATCAGTGCCCTGACTGTTACATGATCAAGCTCAATGCCAAAGGGAAGAGAGGGAAAAAGAAAAGAAAGGGGCCACGCTCAGCTTGTGGGTTAAATTATAAAGTTAATTTGACCACGTGCTCTTCATGTTTAGAAACACAATATACTGCAAACAGTTGAATACTATCAAGATACTATCCATAAAATAAAGTATAGTTGGTTACTGAGTTCCTTTTTATTTATTTATTTATTGTAAGGACAAAGACAGTAACATTAGCCTGCCTTGATTAATCTATCCAACAATTAAAACCCTAACACTAAAATGTTGACAAACTAATAATATTTTATATCATTTTTATATGTATAATTAATTTCTTAACTAATTTTAATTGCCAAAAATAATATTTTGCTTAATTTTAATTTTCTTTTCTTGATTTTCTTCTTAGTAATCAGTATTACAAACCAACCTTTGAGCCCAAACTAGCTATATCCCAGAGTGATAAATTAAGAATTTAAAATGCACTTTTTATTTTTAAAAAATCATAGTTTTAAACTGTATTTCGGCTTGTCCTAAATGTGATAAAAGGTTTGAAAACCTCAGAGAAAATAGAAAATTAAATAGATCATATAATATTGGCCACCTGAAGTTAAGCACCTCCTTTCACAGTTTGTTGAAAAAGAAATGAAAATGATTTTAAGAAGTGCAGGACCTATTTTGTGTCCTATTCATGGAAAGTGCCATAAATAGAATGAATAGCGATCATGTGTGTGTATGTTTCAATAAAAGAGATACCGCTTTAGGCTCTGAAGATCTAGGCCACGCTACCAGCAAATGGCTGCAATATAACGAAGAGTGAAAAATTTAAGGGGGTCTGAATACTTTCCGTACCCACTGTATGTCAAAGCATGTTATAATTTCCAACCCATTAATTAGTATCAAACACCTAGAGGGAGTGAGAGGAAGACAGAGGGGATGGTTTCATTATATGGATTAAAGGACCCTATAGATAAGAGGACAGAGCAAACGAAGGAGAGATGGAATGCTTACGGAGGATAACAAGAGAGAGAGAGCGAATTTCAGCAGCAAACACTGCATTATCCCAGTGTAATCTGAACCACTCACTTGCAGAAGCCAATTATCCAAAACAGCCTATCTGAACAGCAAACCATTAGTCTCAATAGACTCATCAAATCGTTAGTCTCCACAGACATGTAAACATGGATTTCCGACATGCATACCGACAATTACACCTCCTTATCACAACAGCACTGAGCTTTTCTGAGTAGGTCGGTATAAAAATGATGCATATTGTGTATGTGTGAGTGAGTGTGTGTGTGTGTGCGTGATTCGCTGCTCTTTGCTCTCCTTGCATATTTCAGTCATAAACTGCACAGTGACAGAATTGACAGTGCTTGACCGAGGCCATGACAGATAATTCAATTCAGATTACACTACCTGAGAGAAAAACACTGGCGCTCTGTTCACAGTCTGACACAAACACACACAGATTAACACTGCTGCACACTTCTTCGGAGCAAACACAAATACGGTTATGCGCACACAAACACAGAAAGGGGGTTGTTTTATTTATTCATGCTCATGATACACATCTTTCAGTGATGGCTGTGGCACTGATTCCATAATACATGAACCTGCAGAAGAAGTGATGCATGGAAATGGAATTGGGTGCTACCTGAAGACAAGGGGTCAGAAAGGACAGACTGATACTTATGGGTCATTTTACCCTTAATGCACTGCTAAACAGATCACCATTGCTTTATGGAAAGCTCAATGCCACGTTGGCTGCAAATTATTAATAGTCGTTTACAGAGAGCATATAGAGTGTTTCTGTATGAGGATCAAATATTCATACCTCAACTACATTTTTCAGAGTGAATAATGTATGGTGAGGAGAGAGGGGAAAAGAACCATATATGAAAATGTCTGTATGCACACAAACAACACACAAAAAAAGAGATTTCAAACTCACTGTTATTTGCATGGATAGCTGCTTTGGACTGAATGGTCTTTCTGTCTTGGTCGTCAACTTTATTCTTCCTCGTAGCAGACTCTGACAAGAAAAACATAACATTTCAGGCCAAACCTTAAGGATCTTCTTAAAAGACCCACACGATAATGACAATTGCTGTTTTCTCTCTTTTTTTTGTACTACTTTTATTAATTTTTCATAATAAAACATGAAATATGATGATCTTTCCATGACTTTCCATCCTTTTGTGATGACTGAAAAATTTGAAATAATTGAGAAATAATTTAGATAGAAATAACAGAAATAATTTGAGTGTTATGAGAAAAAAATGATTGACTATGGCGATATCTTTAGGATACTATTAGGATATTATACATTTCCATGACTTTTTTCATGACACTCACTATAGCAATTTCCATGTCTTATGGTATACAGTATAAGGGGTGTACTACATTTTCATTACTTTCATAATATTATACATTTATTATTATATATTATATTATAAACTTCCATGATTTTTTCCAATGATACTCACAAAAAAAGTACTTTCTAGGCAAATAAATAACTTGAGCATTATCAGAAAGTTAGATTGACTACATCAATTTCCATGACTTTTCCAGGCCCTGAAATCATGTATTAAAAACTGAGTTTTAAATATTGAGTCATCAATATTTTTGTGCCTTTTCCCAGAAGATACTTCAATTTTTTTTTATTTGTATATCTGCTAAAGGGTTCATTTTTATCAACATTTAGGTGTGCACTAGCATGTAGATGACCTCAAAGCCAGCACACACTGAAAACCATCAAAAATTGATGTCATCCAAAAATGAGGTCTTCCACTCTTAACAGCTTTATGGTGGTAACCACAAGGCTTCAGATTGATCATGTGAGGCCCTGAAGATTTTAAACCTATGGCTAATAATACCCCTACTCTCACTGAATACTGCCATTGTATCTATATGCATGAGGTCAAAAGGTTACCACTGTACCACTAAACCTCCACACTGCAACATTCAGAATAAAAATGTTGTGAATTAAAAAAAATATATATTTATGGTTTTCATTAGCCTAATTGACAAAGAGTGTTAACAGAAAGCATTATCGACTGAGAAGCCTCAAATACTTGTTAAACACTTGATATTTTACACAGTCAAACTTAAATGACTTTGAATCCTAAAGCACCATTTTAAAGTTTCATTAGAAGACTCAAAAAAGAGCCATTTACACAGCAGGTTATCTTGCCATATCAATTCTCTCATTTACTCTCTCTGCCGGTGTCTTTTAATCAGACACGTCACATACTGTTAATGGATAAATGACTGCAATGTGTGTGCGGGTCTGTACCTCTGTTCTTCAGAACTGTGGGAGATTCGCTCTTGATCTCGTTCATATTAGAATCTGTTGTCGTTAGGTCAGCAGTCGTAGTCTCCTCTGAGCTCTCTTCCTCCAACTGGAATTGAGGAATATTGTCCCTCAGAAATTCCCAAATTTTCCCTGTATACCAGGATCTGAGAATGACATTAACATATGGAAGATTAGAGTCTGATGTTTTGATCTCTATCGCTTAATTAGCATTTTACTGTGAATTTATCTAATAATCTCAATTGATTAAAGCCTATTTAAGCCTGGACTAACAAAAGGCTTGTATCAATTTACTGTCCAGTCACAGGATCAATGGATGAAACTAATAAAGCTGAACAAACAAGCCTCTGGACTTTGGACCAATCAATAAACAGCAATTAGAGGAAAGGCAAGCAATGCTCAATTAACTAGGAGAGGTGATCACTACAGCTTGAATAAAGGTCTAATCCAATAAAAACAAATGCAAACAACACACTCTCTCACTTGTTTTTAACTTGAATCTTTAACATTCCATATATGTACACTAACGTTCAAAAGTTTGTGGTCAGTGCTCCATTTATTTAATCAAACTGATCTCTGAACTTTTTTAAGTTAATATGCATTCTTTGTAATCTTTGAAAAGGTTATTTTCAGTGATCTACATCTACCTGATAGCCAAACATTTTGACAACATTTCACAATGAAATTAGAAAACATTTCTAATTTCATTCTGAAATGTTGTCAAAATGTTTGGCTATCAGGTGCTACATGGATTTCTTGGACTCTCTTGGCTCTCTGATGTTCTGGCAAATATGTGAGCTGTTGGAGAGAGATACGACTACAAGATCCTGCAGGGCTGCAGCATGGAGTAAATGACCTCAGGAGACCCCAGTTTGATACACACACACACACACACACACACACACACAAGTCACGCCTTGAAAAAAATGATAGCCCTCTAGAAGATATGACAGCAAAATGTGTGCACTCATCTCACAGCAATTTATTTCTCCAAAATATGAGCGTACACTCTCTGAATGTGTGTACTGGTCTCTGAGGAGTCTATGAAACACGGAAACTCATCAGAGCGTAAATTACAAGACACCACGCCGTGTTTCCCAAAACAGAGCATATGTGAGAGTTTTGCTGAGGAAGTGACAACAAACTACAGAGACAGTCAAACGCTAGAGAAGAGAAAGTTACATGCAAACTTCACAACAACAACATTCCTGCAGTAACTCGATAAAGCTGGAACGGCGGTGAAGACCAGCCATTTGATTGCAGAACAACAACATAGTGTCTGCAGCCCATTTTCTCCTAATAAGGGTGGCATCTGTGCACAGCGTGAGGAAAAGAAGGACATTCTGTGGATCGCAGAGCACAGCTTAATGAAGCTTGTTAGCACATACCACAGACATAAAGACAATGGTAGGCTGAGAGAACAAACTATTAACTATAAAACTTAACTAAAAGCTCTCAAAAAAGCAAAAAAAAATAAAAATTGTGAGAGTCAATGTTAAACACCAAATGCAAGTCAACATTTCAAGTCTTTAATTAAACATATACATGGATGAAGTGTTCACAATTAGATAAATATGCTTTTAGAAAATAGACTGGGTGAATTTCCTTTTCATGTCAACTTTTCATATCAGCCTGTTAATTGTTGTTAAAAAAAATAATGTACATTGTCTTATACCGTATAAACCATGTAAAAATGTACAGTGCAGAATAAAAGTTTGAAAATGCCCAAGGCAAAGTAGGGTTTTTGACAAAATTCTTAACATTTTGTAATAACTTTGTATTTGTAAGGGACACCACAAACTCCATCCATCCATTCTATGTCCTATGTAGGGTCACTGGGAAGTTGTGTACTAACCTTAATTGGCAATCAATCTGTAAATCAATAAAGGTGTGCTGAATCTTCCAAAAAAGAATCACCACATTTAATTAAAAAATCAGGCATCACAACAGCCATATGGCCATGTCTAGCAGTACTTTTATTACTTAATAAAAAAAATTAAATGATTAATGCTATAGCCTTCAATGACAATTTTAATAACTTAATGATACATTTCAGCTAATAAATCCTACTAATTTTTTCTGACCTTTGACTAATACTCAGCTTTGAAACATACAGTATTTGGAAACTTTAGGAATCCACAGTAGAGTGAGATTTTGAGTTTGAAGACAGTTTAAAGAGAGTCTCACTTTAAAGGAATGATCTCCGGTATCCAGCCGGTGAGACAGTGGATGACTGTAAACTCTCCAAACTCTCTCCCGGAGCCTGAGACTGGAATACTGGAGAGAGAACACCATAACATCATTGTCACACATCTAACAGGTTACTTGTTTGCTGGACACCCATTACAATACATACAAATAGGTGTGGGTACATCCTAAAATACTAGCAATTGTTCTACGCTCAGTAAGGGCTGCATGAATATGCACACTCAGTTCCAGCTCCACTACGTGTCATTTCAGACATTGATCTGTGCATGTCTATGTGTGTGTGTGTGTGTGACCTCTTGCTCTCTTTCTCTGAAGAAACCAGATGGCTGATGCTCTAATTGTGCCTCATGGGATGCTGTATTCAACCAGTCCGGCAGCTATTAATTAACTGCACGATTTCACTGTTCATCTTCACGCAAAGAACCATTCCATCATTATCACTGCCACACAAGAGGACAAGCACGCTTTAAAAAGAACGTACTGTGGCTTCAGGTGAGTGACGACTGTGATCGCTTCTGCACCAAACCTTGGCAGTAAAGAATTTTACAGCATGTATATGTGTTTATTGGGAAAAAGCCCACTGGAAGCACATCATTGTGCTTTTTGTTTCCTGTTCATATTATTTAGAACCATAAATGATTAAGTGGCTCAGAGATTCTCATTTCCTAAGCTAGATTAAACATTTAAATCATGAAAAAATCTGTTCTTCTATGGAGCACAAAACAGATATTCTGAATAATGTACTTGCTCCTTTGCATGCAATTACAATGCATGGAGATGGCTGTTTCAAAAAGGTATAATTAAAGTATAATTAAAATATCATTAAAGTGGTCTCTATATTCCAAGCTTTGTGTGACATTCAGACTGAAATTTAAGTCGTTACTCAATAATAAACATCCACTTCAGTGAGCTAACCATTACCTCTGGATCACTGAGTCAAGTGAGCTAAAACTGAGAACCTGGTCAGTCAGATTCATGAAAGAATCATCCATGCTGGTTTTGTGAACTAGAAGACATTTCAAACACTTAATTGTTTGGATTATTTTCAAAGACTCACTCAGTACTGGCCACCTTCAGTATGCCTTTAGCCAAGAGCATAGGCCAAATCTCTGATTGGTTCGTAGTAGCAGGAAGCAGAAGGTTATCATCCTTGTCAAATGGTAGCATGTCATCAACAGTAATCTTCCTCCAACTACCCTAAGAAAGCAGAAGACAGTTCTTGTAAAAAAAGTACATTATTAATGAAACAGCACTCTAAAATATCAAGGTAAAAAACAGGATTGAAAACCATTTTTGTGTGCTGCAAAAAATTCTTCATATAATGGACACACATTCCATCTGGACAGGTCATTAATAGCATGACTTCTGGGACTCAACATTTATTAAATAACATTAATTCACTCATGGATGTGCTGTGATATATACCGCAGTAATATAAAATTCAGTTTTTAATGATCTGCTCACCATCAATCTCATCTCAACAAAACCAAAGGTGTATTCAATCAGTAGTCAAATGAGCCTTTAAAGTCCATGGTTCATTAGTGCATATTTTGTACACAGTAAAATGAGCAGCGTAAAATACAGTGATAAACATCATTAACTCTAATGGAGTTTTATTAAAGAGAGTGAACTTAGAAGATAAGTCAGCAACAAAATAACTATTGCCCAGCACATAGGCCTAATCTAAAATGCTTTTGTGCCTGAGAGAGTGTTTGATATCACCTGTCAAACAAATCACTGTTACCTACGTGTAGGTCACTGTTTGCTCATTTAGGACTAGGAGCTGTTAAGGTAAATAATTGTTTCTCAGTTTCTTGTGCCCAGAGGATAGAGCAATCTTGGCTCTCTTGGCTCCCTGAGAAGCGTTGTGTTCTCACTTAATCAGCACCTAAAGGACACAGTGTCCTTCCAGCAGGAAAACGTGGACATATGCTACAATAGGTGTTGAGTGGCCTGTGTACATTTGTTGTGTACATTTTTACACTATAGCCAATCCCAATAATTTGGGGCATATTTGCCAATTTTGTGAATCACCAACCGGAACCTCTTGTTCATTAAAGATTCTTTTGTGTTCAACAGATGAAAAAAAAACATGGTTTTAAAAATAACATGAGGGTGAGGTTTTTTATGACTGAAATGTCAATTTTTGCTGAACTATTCCTTTAGTTATTCCAGGTTCCAGGTTATTTTCCACTGAAGACCATTACTTTGAGTTTTCTTTTTTTTTTTTTAACAAAACTCTTCTAGTTATTTAAAACAAAGGGACACAAAGCTGACAGGAATTAGATTTAAATAAAAATATTCAACATTACTAAAAAAAAAAAACAATTTCACTGCTAGCTTTTAGTAATTGTTTTTATGTTAAATTGATTGTATTATTCCTCATTTGTAAGTCACGTTGGATAAAAGCATCTGGTAAAAACAAATAAAATGTTGCACTTATGAATGTTGAATAATGGATCATCTGACATAACATAGTGACATACTGATTAGACCACTGTGTGTGTGCATGTAAATTTAGCTACTTCAGTGTTGCACAATACAAGTAGTATGGTGTCGATACTCAACCCGGACTTACCATCCAGTAGAGTTTAATGACATACTTCCCATAGGCATTATAGAGGGGCATGTGATCTTTCACTGCTTTACACAGGGAGTAAATGTGTTCCCAGGGTTTCCAAAGGTTGGGAACTATTTCTGTGGAGATGGCCTTCTCCTCTCCTGTGTTACAGACTTTCCACAGAATGTAGAGCTCACTAATGACCCATCGCATAAGCTGTGAAATCGCCATGCAGGACGAAGAGTGACACAGTGTAGGTTAATTCCAACGAAACTAATTATTCTTAGTTCCAATCAGTAACGCAGGCCATCCGAAATGATTTACTGACTCACCTCACTTGAGAGTAAATGCTCATTTGCTGAGGTAAAGTCGAAGGCAGCTTCATTTTCCACCACAACAGGAGTCTGATTGAAAGGATGAGATACATATTATGTCAGTAATTCCAGTTCCTAAAGGTCTACATTGATGAGTTTCAGCTTTCTAGCTTCAGCTCAATTAGAACAAACTCAAAGTCTGTATTTTTATTAAGAAATTAATAATTTTATTCAGCAGTGATGCATTGTATTACTTTTGAACTTTCTAGTCATCAAAGAATCCTGGGGAAAAAGTATGTTTTAGACAAAAATATTAAGCAGCACGACTGTTTTCAACATTCATAACAAGAACACATTTTTTAATGAGCATATCAGAATGAATTCAGCTTTGTTATTACAAGAATAAATTTCATTTTAAAATATAATAAAATAGGAAGCAGTTCCTATAATACTGTTTGACAATTTTTATGTTTTTACTGTAGTTTTGATCAAATAAATGCAGCTGAGCATAAGAGACTTATTTCAAAAACACTAACCAACCCCAAACTCAGTCTGATTATTTGAGATTGCACCATAAAACATTATGAAAGTTATTATTGATTATTGAATGTGATTATAGTTGTGCACACTGGTGTATTAGATATTACAATTTGTGTGCCCAAAGAAATGAAAAATATATCTCACATTTTCCAATGTTTTTTTCCCCACTACTATCACAGATCGTATTGACCCTCTGAGGGACATGAATCCATGAATATTTGATGATCTTCAGTAGTCCATCTTAATGGACTTTTAATCAAATGTAAATTGAAGGCTCTTAGTATCACTCACATACTTGGAGAGAAGAATCACAGTTATCATCTTTTTATCCCAACTGTTGCCATGGAAATGACAACAGAGCTGACCTTCATTCGTTCTGTCAATTAAACATCTTAAATACAGCTAGTCAGATGGCAGAAATAATTGGTTTCAGACCTCTAGTGCCTAGCCTTGATTGCCTTGTGATTTTGCTGCTTTTTGTGACTATTTAGCATCCCATGACTTGCTTAGACTCATCAAAATGGAGGAATAATTGTGAAATGTTGTGCTGGGCATGAGGTAATTTAATCACAACCTGAATTCTTATGAAAGTGGCATAAACAGATTTCATCAATTAGGCTCAGCACTGAGGCTAAGATTGGATTTTCCCCAAAAAACATGCAACTAAGGAACAGGACCCACACAAAATAGACAAGTATGCTTTGCATGCGTGTTGGTTGTTCATGTCAGGACTGGATTAGTTTAGTGTCATGTCGTTATAAATCAGATCGAACAGAACTACATTTCTGTCATGACAATTGACAACTCTCGGAGGGATTGGCATGGTAATGTACATGACAATGTTAATGTATTTGGTCTTGGCGGAATAGATCTGCTACGCTGCTGCTGCTGCGGCAGAGCAAGTACCGAGACTTGCTACTGCCAATACATCCACAACATGCTGCTGTGAGCATGTAAGAAATATTGCTGCTGCAATTATAACATACATGAAATAACCCCCATATAGCATACATGAATCACCTCGTAGCAGAACAATACAGGTGGAGCTGGGTAAGGTGGAGGGTTTCTGAAGCAAGCTGAACCAGCTACAACAATCACTAGTCATATATTTGAATGTTGAGCAGCGAGCTCATTGGCTACCGATACAGGAGAGAACCAATCAGCTGTGCCATGTGATAATGATGCCATTAGATCAGATTGAGTTTCATGCCAGAGCTCTGTATTTATAAGTACACTTGACAAATGTTGCAAACTCTGTTCAACTTTACTTACTCAGGTTAATTCAGTTTCTTCAAGTTTGTTTATTGGACCTGCTAGAGATGTGAAAGCTACTAATATGGCTGATAAACCCTTACCTTATTAAGTATGTACTCTGAAGGACGTTTCCAAGTGTGTACTCTCAAGGAGGCAGGAAGTTCAACCTTCCCTTCTGGATCATCAAAGAGCTGTTGGCAATGTTGTTACATAAAATGCTCAATATGGTTTTAGATTCACATTCAAAGGAAAATAAATACAAAACAGAATAAAAGCTATTAAAAATGATGATCTAATTACAAAGTGCATGGTGCCAAACACTCTTGACTCATCAATTGAAATGCTACAGTACATCTCTCAAGCTAAGCAGTTTGCTGAAACAGATTTCTGCTCTCACCAATCCTGACATAGCTCTGTAAAGCTTTTATAAAGGAAAGACATTGAATATTAAATCACGTCTGACTCATCAATTCTCACCTTGCTATCCTTAGAGGCTTTAGCTGCATCCCATTTCTCAGCATTGACCTCAGTGTCGCTCCACTCTGGCCAGAGAGAGATGAGAATCTTCTTTGGCTCTTCAGGACTTTCTGATGCACTGACCACTGAGGATGCTCTAGAGATTTAAAGGGGTCCTATTATGCTCTTTTACAAAGTCTTGATTTTGTTTTGGGGGTGTACTAGAACAGGCTCTCATACTAGGTACGAGTCGTTCGTTGTAGTTTTTGAAAAGTGATTTCTGTTCAATAAAATATCTCCTTTTGAATTGGACTTTGAGCTTTGTAACTTTGCAGATCTTTTTTATGCTCAAACAGCAACATTACAGACTAAAGTTGAAAAAGTGAAAAAGCATAATAACACCCCTTTAATGTAATCTATTTAAAAAGATGACTATTTAATATAATAATTTCATCTGAATTTGCATGATTTGTGATGGGTCTTTTCAATTGTTATTTTCAATCTAAACTGCATATTACTATCAATCTCTCTTCTACCTACAGTACCTACTATATATTAAGGTTTAAAACTTTATTTTCCTTTGCACACATTATTCCAAACACTGTTTTTCTTCTTCTTCTTCTTCAGGGAACAAAATTCTAGCTAAACTGAATGCTAAGTTAACTTATTATAACAGGACTGAAGCAAAAATTTGTAAATTATGTGTATTAACCTACTGCAAAGAAAACGTGATTCTATGTTATTAATGTTAGAAAAGTAGGCATGTTGTTGTTGTTAATGCAAAATACACAAAAATACACAATTTCGTGTTAGGCACTCATAAAAGTTGCCAGGAAATTGTGATACATTAACTTGCCAGAAACAAATGTTGTATGTTGTCAAATTCAAAACTACATGTAACGACCGCCCCCCAATATTTTACTAAAAACATAAACAACTTCCGTAAGCTAAGGACAAACACAATACAGTAAAGATATAGGGTGGAATAAATGTTTTATAAATTATATTATCTGTGACTTATCAATATTATTGAAATATTTCGAGGGAATAAACATAGCGAGGTTGTGTTAATGAATCTTCAGTCAAATCTTACTCTTTTTTGGGAGAGTGTCCAGGCGAAGAAGCGACGAGACTGGAGGAGGACGTCTTTTTCTTGGGTGTCTTCGACATTGCAAGTGTTCGTAGGCCTTATTTCTAATCTAAGAGTTCATAGTTTGAAGCAACACTTGGCTGATTAAAGCACGAAAGATAATGATGAATAGGAAGCGATGCCCAGGGTGAGACTCAGGCAGTAGGGAAAGTTTGCCATGTTGCTAGGCGACAGGATCACTTGGGATTGCCGACAGCACGAGCGCAGGGCTTTATTACCACCTCGCGCCAATGAACTCCTCCTGACCTCCTCAAACAAAACCTTGAGTCTATTCACTGTCGTTAAGCTATAGGAAGAAAGACTCGTCTCTTTTCTCTCCTCTCGAATAGTTCATTTCAAAGAACTGATTCTTTTTTTTTTATATTGGATCTTTAGGTTTTTTTTATTTTTTTATTGCATATGAACATATATAACAACAAAAGAAGTTCAACGTTGCATATAAATGCCATCAGTACACAAGATTACAAGTAAAATAAAAATTAGCCAGAGGAATAAACAAAACAAACAAACAAAAAAACAAATAATGAAGACGGTACAGTTTACTTGTCTATTTCAAATTTGCATATAATAGTAGAAGTCCTGAGAGCTTTGTTTGTTTGTTTGTTTTACATTTATATACCATATTGCAGTAGTTTAAATTCGTTGATAAAATGAAACAAATTTGTCTTACCACCCGACCACTTCATTTTGTGTAGGCCTATATGAAACTTCCCCATTACCAGTAATTGAATAATATACGCTTTATTCTTCAAAGAACCGATTCCAAAAACTGAATCAGTTTACCTTTAACGTCAACAAGTAATTACGTCATCACGCGATACCTTACGTTTGATCACTCATTTATTTCTGAATGTAGTTCCACATTTTTTTTTCCTCTGCGCAACATGCTAATGAGAGGGTGTCAATTATGCAACAGTAGGCGGATCATGTGCTTGAGCGTTTGCCTGCGCATGCGTATTAACTTCATCAGTCAAGGTGACTGATTATTATCTTACACTTTTTCATAGGGTTAGTTTTGTAGTTATAATCATGAGAGAGCTAAATCATAAAAGATTTTAAGTGGCCAATGTAAAATATTAATGCTTACATAGCTCTTAATTGCAATACTGAACCGTTATTTGCTTAATAAACATACTTTTGTCGCCTGTATTTTCTGTTCTGATAACTAATGGGAAAAAACTGTCTGTTCCTCGATTAAACCACTTCATACCAGTCATCTCACGATGACCATGGGATACTGATATTACAGTTGTCTCTAGCTGGAGACTCAATTGGGTTACAAAAAATGACGTCAGGAAACGGCACTGGCCATTTCTTTGGGTCATGTGAAGTCACAGATACTGTACGGACAATACAGCTCAGTTTTTTATGTATCTTGCTCTGTTAAACGGAAAAAGTGACTTTACGTAGGCCATACTGGATTTACACCATGCATTTCCTGTCAGCGGGAAAGCCGCGGGCGGTATTTGTGTATTTATTTATTGTTTTTGCAGGTTTCGTCCTCCATATACGTCGCATCATATTTATTTTTTTATTTATTTGTATTTTTCTCTTTTAAAAAGTCTCAATTCAGTTTTTTCTATTAAAATAAAATAAATATTAATTTAATTGTAGTTAGTAAAGTAATCCATTACATTACACATTTTAGGTAATATAATCAGACTGCTTTTAGATTACTTATGAGCTATCTCGTTTATCGCATTTTTTAAAATAGGATAATCTTGTACTATATTGATATAAAAATACAAAGATTAAGAAAATATATTCCATTCATTATTCCATTCCAGGTTTCCCAAATTGGGGTTTGTGAAGGAACTGCAGGGGGTTTGTGAGTTTAATGAAAAGCTAATAATTAATTAAATCATAAAAATGTTAAATTTAAATAAGTCATTATAAAATCAATCAAAATAAAACTTAGTAAAAAAAATTAAATATTTTATTTGTTTACCCGCATGTCATGTGACCATAACCAAGTCAGAGAACCATGAACATGCAAATGTGATACTTAATAAAATATTTATTTTAAAATCTCAGGGGTCCTTCAAGTAAATATATTAAGTGAAAGGGGATCAGATTAGAAAAATGTGTGTTGTGTTGTAAATTTGTGCATTTTAATGTGTTTGAAAGATAAAAGCCTTCTAAAAACATAGAAATACATGGTTAAATAACATACAGAGTGATAATTCAAATAAAAATTAATGGTAACACTTTATTTTGATGGTCCCTTTTGAACATTCTGTCTACAATAAGTAACTTTGCACCTACATGTCAACAAACTCTCATTAGAGTATTAGTAGACTGTCTGATTAATATCTGCTAACTCTTTATTGAGATGGCATCCCAAGACATTCTACTGACTATAAGTAACTTTGCAAGTACATGTCAACTTATTCTAACCCTAACCCTACTCATGCTCAACTAACACTCTAATGAGAGTAAGTAGATATAGGTGCAACCTTACTATAGTCAACAGAATGTGTTAAAGGGACCACCAAAATAAAGTGAAACCAAATTAATGTGTTCATCAGTAGTTGATGCAATATTGAAACACTTCTTAAACCTGAAATGATTTTTATAAATCCAATGGTCATTTAAATTAAATTGAATAATTTATTGCTATTGTGTAAATAATATGTTATCATGTAATCCATAAAAAAGTAACTGTAGTCTGATTACACATATTTAAAAAATCTAATTACAAGTACTTAATTTTTGGAATCTGATTACTTAATCCAGATTACATGTAATCACTTACTACCCAGCTCTGCACATAATCAACACAATGACTAAATGAACCCGTTCTCTAATACACATTAGTCTATCAACCACCGCATACATGTATGGCATGATTACTGCTTGTACAATTTTTCTGAAATCGATGGCACTCTAACACATCTACAGCACCTGCTAGTGTATTAAAGCATAGCTGATTCTGTCCCCTTTTCCCATTATACACAGCTCATCCTCCATCATGAGATGACCCACGGCAATGTTTCACCTGCACTGAATCCAGGATTTTAATAGCATTCTGAATTCTCATACAGCTTTGAAAGACAACCAATAAATACTGCCACATTTCATATTATCATAATTATATTATAATGAAGCTTTTGTAAGAATTTCAAATTTTACGGCACATCCTCTCACGTGTTTATTGAGATCACACCATATAAGACTATAAACAGTTTAAAAAGTTTTAATCTGTCATTGTTACTTCAACAAACAATTGTTTGCAAACTTTACAAACTTGTTCCAGCATATTAAAATGTATATTTGCCTTCAGGTAATTCTAAAATAACGCCATGGACAGAGCAAATGCTCAGATCCCTCATTGAGTACCAATTAAAAAACAATTAATAAACATATTTTAACATTAACATGAACAAGCCCGAGGAAAACCAACATGATCTTACTCTCTGAACCACAAATATACATGCTTAGGCCCATGATTCTTACAGATCTCCCATTAGAGGACAATTCATTTTCTTTTTTATTTATTAATTTTTTTCTTGATAAAATTATTTTGTGGTAAGAGCTTCAAGAGTGATGGTTGGATCTTCACAGATACAGACTAAATGCCCTGGGAATATGTACTATTTTGCCATAAAGTGACATATTGAGAACTTTTCCTGCAAAAATTTAGGGTGGCGATTCCCAGCAGCAGATGCAAATAGTCCAAATTTTTTGAAAACAGCTCACCCTCTGTGACAAAGGCATTCGTTTGATTTAATTTCAGCTAAGAACTTTTACTAGTATTTGCCTGGTCCTATGACACCCATTTAGTTTCATTCGTTTTAAGCAATATTACAACAAGCACACACTGAAGTAACTTGCTTGACGCTATTAAAAGGACAAACATGGCGCAGAACAAGAGTGAGAGAGAAAAACCGGTCATTAAAAGCATCAGAAAGATGTTTTCATCTGATCATCTGTCCTTTGGCAGTGATGTCTTCTCCCCTTTTAGAGCACAAACTGTTGACCCCTGGTTATGCTGTGATCCGTGGCAGGGGTTTGGGATGAGGTGGGATTGGGGAATTTGTTGAGCTCGGTCCCTGGCCTCCTTTCCACGTCAGATGATGGGACACACAAGAGCATCCACACTAGCAACAACCTGACTTGCTCTCAGCAGGCACTGTTTGTTGGTCCAGTTTAATCTTGTCACCATTGTTTTCTTCATATGGAAGACCTTTATCGTTGAGAAGGATGTTCTCCACCAGGAACCGGGCAGCCTCATCAACGTTGATGTTCTCCTGCAGTGAACAGAGTCAAATGTTAAAGGGATAGTTCACCCGAAAATCATTCCTCATGTTGTTCCAAACCTGTATGAGTTTCTTTCTTCTCCATAAGATAAAAGAAGACATTTTGTTGTTTCTTGAACTGTTTTTGAACATACAATGAAAGACAGTTGGGTCCAAATATCAATGGATCTCTGTGTGATTTTCATTGTATCGACATAAAACACGGAGACATTCATCAAAATATCTTTCTTTGTGTTCGGCAGAAGAAACAAAGTCATACAGGTTTGGAACCTTTCCAGAATATTGAGATCATTTACAAAACGGTCAATAGACCTAACTTGTTAAGCTAAACTGAGTGCTTAGTGAAGCTTCGAGAGGTACTTCAGCATGAAGCTGGATTGATGGCATCCGCCTACACGACATCTCTTCTCATCGCTCTTTCGAGACAATTCACTGTCTTTCCATTAACATCCCTCTATCCCTCAGCAGTCTGTGGCTTCAAAGCAATAAAGTGGGAATGAGACAGATTTGAGGAAAAGGGCAGAAAACAGAAAGGTTAAACAAAAGCCAACCATCCAAATTTGTCATTCACCCAGAGTACTGAACACAATAAAGGTGGCACGGCCATGCTGAGTGACAATGACCGTTTCTATTAGACAACTGATGTCCAGCAGTGGGCAAGAAAAACAAGATCATCAATAATGCTAATACATGGCCTACGGAACACTATTTGCTTGCAGTGAGCAGTGTCAATAACTTGAGTTTTCAAGCTTGTTAAGAACATCATGAGACTGTTTGAGACATGATTTTAAGAAAGTGTTCTGTGCTCTTGCTTGTTTTAAAGGGTGATGAACTGATATTGTGACATCTTTTGGGTAGAAACGATGGTTGAAATTATTGCCATTTTGAAATCTGCATGGGCCATTAGATTTGAGGAA